ATTCATTGAATACTATTCAAGTATTAATCAAAAACATTTTACTTTAGTTAATATGTATTTATTATAAACATCTTGATTATTTTATAGAAAAAAACTCTCTTTATAAAAAATATGATGTTTAAAAATAATTATAATACAATTATAATTCTAGTTAAAATTATTTCCAAATGAATACTCACAACACAATATTCTAAATATGATTTTAGTATTAAATACCAGTTATAATTAATAAACATGTTTATAATACAATATTTACATATAGTTATTAAATATATTTGTGCCGACACTTGGGATTTACATAACAAAAAGTATTATAATAAACAATAAAATATTAATTATTAATATTAATACTTTAAAATACACATTCAATGTGTACTAAAAATGTATATAAAAAATATTATAAAAATTATAATTAAAATTTGTACAGAACATTCACATTTTCTCTAATAGCATGTATAAATTATAATTCAAAAACACATTTCTATTGAACCCAAATTAACATAGAGTATAAACCAATGAAATAATTTTAAAAAATAATACATTCATTTTGTATATTTTCACATCAAATACAATAATAAATCAAAACTTAAAATCTTAGCAAAACAATACAGTATATGTATTTAATAGACAATCAATGGTGTAATCTTAATATAACACTTGTAATGAAATAAATATAATTGTAATCAATATACCACTGGTCAACATAAGAATATAACAAACAACAAAGATTGTATCAATTAGTTTTTCGATACAAAAGCCATGACTCGTATCCTATTGACATTGCCGATGTAAAAGAGCATCAATTTACCAGGTTCAGGCTCTTCAATGGAGTAGCCAAACTTTTGCCCTATAATGCATGACCACACCTCGTGATACTTTTTCTCAATCATACGGCACATATGGTCGGCCGCCTCGTCGTAGTCGTCGCCATATTTGGCCAAACCTTCGGACGCAAAGTCGATGGCATCGGTCTGCATGTGCTCTGGCATCTCAACGATGTCAAAATTGGTGCGAAATTTTCTCAACTTTTCGTGACGTTTCTGACGCAATATTCGCCACCGAAGAAGTCTTGTCGACATCTCTCGCGTCTCCGTATCGGCCAAACCCTCGACATCCCCTTCGCCCACATTTGTCTCGCTATTCACTTCTGAACAGTCTATCAATAAAACATGAAAAACATATTTATTTCAATATTGTACATTTTTATAGTTTGAGAGATTAGTTATTCCATTACAATCAATGCAAACACAATTAATACATTACTTAATTATATATTAATATAGTTATCAATAAATATTTAATTCAAACACAACATACCTATATATTTGATACCAATGAATAAAAGAGTTAACAAAAACACTATTTGTTTTTTCATTTTGTTACAAATATGCAAACAAAATGTTTCCTTTTTTATTAAGATATATCTGATATTTTACTTCAAATTATTATAAATACTTTTAATTCACTTTAAGAGCAATTACTCAACCCTTTAATATATTTATGATATAAAATTGAATCAGTGAATAAAAGTCCACAAAAGTAGCCAAACTTTTCGCACACACCGATGAAATTTGCTTATGTTGAATAAAGCCAATTATCACTAAAACATAAATTGTTAAGTGCTTTGATTGTGGACGAAGTTGTGGGAAAATGTTATATCACTCTGACATGAGTTTCAGTCCAAAAATACAAGATTTGAGACTTAAAATATAAGCCTTTGATTATGGGCTCCACTCTAAGAGACAACGGATGAGCGAAACAACACTTGAATTTGAAGTTTTAATTCATATGATAAAAATGCTTTTTACATAAATATCACCAATTTCTTTTTACTGTGTGTTCATATCGTTGCACAAGATTATATGTATATATAAGTGATATTAGTGTAGCAGCTAAGCACATATATAAGAGCACATGTGTAAGGAGAGAAGTTTGGTGATGGTGTGCTCGTGTAAAAAGGCAGTGACAGGTAATATGGGAAAGGGATAGAGCACTGTTAAGTCACACATGCATTCATATAGAGATCAGATGACAGTATGAGATTGTAAAATAAATGTTTGCTACACTTTTCATGAGATGTACTTTTTTGCAAATAAATAACTATAATATAAATAACTTGTTTTTCGAAGTATATCTGCAATACAGAGAATACAGTATAAAATAAATAAATACTTTTAACTAAAAGTTTTATATCAAAAATAATAGTGGAGTCTCACATCACTGTCGCCTTAGCCGCACAGGTATTTTTGCACATCAATAATAGCTATCTATTAGGTAGGGGTTCATAAAAGCCATACATAAATAAATGTGTGTATACTTTGGTATACTTTTGCTATTAAAACCTATGGCACAGACTGTCGACGCGCCGGCATTTAAACGACTTTACTATTGGAGACAATTGTTTGGAGACTTTATTAATTACTGTATTATTAGGAGTACTCCGTCTATAAGATAACAGACAGACACTGGGAATAGCCGTCACATTATATGCTATTCTATATTTACTATTAGATTATAAGATCACATCATTTCTCTATCACATGTATTCCTTACTGTATTACAGTATTTACGAAGCCCTCATAGTCTATACAATTATAATTATTGATTTTAAATATTAATTAATTATTGTATTTCTGTTTTTGTAGTTTCAGCTAAAATAAAATATCATGCACTTTACTTATTTATATGATATAAATTATACCAATAAAGCGATTATTCCAACGATTACGGGATTATTTACCTATTATTGCTATTTTACACATTTATTACAAAAATTATTAATGAACATGATAAACATGTCTATACATTTAGATTACAATTATCTTTTAATAAATTGTGGTTTATAATATTATACAGAAAATAGTTTAATGATTTGTAGTAAATTCAAAACATTGTGTATTAAGTAAAAGCCTTTTCATATAATAGATCAAATTACACCATAGAAAAATAAAAATTGCAATTTATGAAATTCATATATTCATAATATGAATATATAAGGTTTTCTTTATATAAACATATACTTTTTACAAGAATATTGCACTATTTATTGACATACTGTACCAAACATTTAGTATACTAAATAAAATTAGCTTATTTAAGAGATTACAGATGATTGATTAAAGAATAAGGATTAATATTTGAAATAACATTAAATCTAACAGTTGTGTGGATACTATAATATTTTAGATACAATATACTGTATTTATATTCAATAATTACACATACTAATTACATATACTATCTTATACTATACCATTAATTACTACAATGTACTTTATTAAAGAAATGAGTTTAATGTGTTTATTATTTCAGTAGAAATAAATTAATCTAAAATTAAAGAATATTTATAACCCGTTTGATGGCATTTAACTTATATGATATAAGAAAACAGAGTCAATAAAGTATAATCAAATTAAATTGTATTTTAAAACAATAATTTTGGTAAATATTTTTATTGCAAGTTTATATAAAAATAACACATAATGTATGAAAACAGTGCACATTTATGATTACAATTATATAGAAATAATACGTAAAAATATTTACAGAATTGAGTGTTTCCTATAAATGATTTTTAATATAAACAGTCAATAGACTTGCAAAAGAATTCTTAAAATATTCCATCATGATGTCTATATTTATGAATTATTACAAAATTATTAATCATATAATAATTTTAATATTCCTCAATATACCAGGATTGATTTTGGCAGTTTAGAATTAATCCCATCAAATCGATCATCTATTTACTGCATACCTCTGATGGAAATGCACAAAAATCTGAAATAAAATAAATTAATTAACAATCAGTTGTAATTGTTTATAATATAATTTATTTACATTGTATATAATATTGTCAATTTTTTAATGAGAAAATTTTATATGTTAAAGCATAAAAACAAATCTGCAGGTGTTGGCAACAAATCTATTAGTGTATTAGTAGGACATTGACTGAAATCATTTGAAGTGCGATCTGTACAGTACTTATCGTTTGTACAGTATTGCATTTAATATATGGCATATACAGTATTATCACAACACGTATACTACAGTAAAGCACCTTTTTTGCCGAGTGAAGGGATCAAAGTTCCCGAAACGGAAAGTTCCTGAAACACGAACTCTCTAATAAATAACAAAACTATTGTAATAAACTATTTCTTTTACAGTAATATACAGTTTTGATATTTGTGTGACAACTAATTTGGGTGGTCTACAAATTTTCCAATTAATAAGTTAATGTAAAGACAATAACCGCTCCTCTTGATGGTCACCTTATAGTTAATCCTGATTTGCATTTAATAATAAACTACAACATTAAATAGTGGACATGATTAGTAAGAAAAGTATTTAAAACTAATTAACATCAAACGAAAGAACAATAATGTGAGAAAAATTGATAAATAATAAAGATAGAGTTAAAACGCAAACATAAACTTTAATTTTCAATTTGAAATTAAATCAATAAATGATTGATAATAATAGACTTACTGTATCCGCTAACACAGGGACAGGCATCGACATAGATGTCTGCCTTAACTTGGGCATTTGAACACTTTTCACCTTTAACTGCCCGGGGCTGACACGAGCGAAGTTTTGTAGACCTTTCCAATAGACAACAACCAGACTCGCAGTCCCGAGAATACGTACACATTTCGCCCAATTCTCTATTAGTCTATATTTACAATTAATACAAATATAATATTAATATTTAATNGAGCGAAGTTTTGTAGACCTTTCCAATAGACAACAACCAGACTCGCAGTCCCGAGAATACGTACACATTTCGCCCAATTCTCTATTAGTCTATATTTACAATTAATACAAATATAATATTAATATTTAATAAATTATAATATAATGGAACTTATTTAATTATCAACATTAAATAGAAAATAGTATAATACGCGTATATATTTTTAAAACATTAAATTTTATAATTAAATCAGCTTATTAAGTGACTTATTATTATATTTAAAAATCAACTTATAATATGCATAATAAATATATAATTGAAAGCAAGATTGAATGATCTAGATGGTAATACCCTTCGTGGAGGTTCATCAATGGGTTTTTGCATCATATCGTCGCCCCAGTCCTCCTCCTGGAGGCTTATCCATCGAGCCTTCGCTTGTTTCAAATCCTTTTCCTTAAACTTATAGTCTTTTTTATTTGAGGGCTTGCGAGCAGTGCTGCCGTCCTGTTCACCATATGTCACACAAACCATACATAATATCAACACAATTATTATCGAAGTTTTGTAGACCTTTCCAATAGACAACAACCAGACTCGCAGTCCCGAGAATACGTACACATTTCGCCCAATTCTCTATTAGTCTATATTTACAATTAATACAAATATAATATTAATATTTAATTATATATTATACTGTATATTAAATTATAATATAATAGGACCTATTTAATTATCAACATTAAATAGAAAATAGCATAATACGAGTATATATTTTTAAAACATTAAATTTTATAATTAAGTCAGCTTATTAAGTGACTTTTTATTATATTTAAAAATCAATTTATAATATACATGATAAATATATAATTGAAAGCAAGATTGAATGATCTAGATGGTAATACCCTTCGTGGAGGTTCATCAATGGGTTTTTGCATCATATCGTCGCCCCAGTCCTCCTCCTGGAGGCTTATCCATCGAGCCTTCGCTTGTTTCAAATCCTTTTCCTTAAACTTATAGTCTTTTTTATTTGAGGGCTTGCGAGCAGTGCTGCCGTCCTGTTCACCATATGTCACACAAACCATACATAATATCAACACAATTATTATACACTTCATTATAATTGACAAAAATGAAAGTCAGTTTTTAGGGTGATTGCAAGTATTTTATAATTAAAAGATTTGTTATATAACCACTATTAAGATATAAAATATTTAAATAATTTATGAATAAATGTAAAATGAGTACATATATGGCCACAAAAATCTAACGAATAATACAGACAATAGCTCTGGTATTACACAAATAGACGTTTCAAATAAGGCTAAGATGTCTGGTTATCCTTCACTATTGTATTAATAATATATTGATTGTAAGTATGTCTTCAGAAAACAAAACTCATTGCAAAACCACTCACATTATAGCGAAGACCTGTTCACTGAAGGTAGTTATGGAGGGGAAGACAATCGTGATCACAAAAACTATACGTCATTTTCACTCTCCCTATCCTTCTTCCCAATAGATTGTCAATAGATTGAGAGAGAGAGAGAGAGAGAGAGAGAATATCGTATCGATAGAAGTAAATAGCGATTCAAAACGTGTATTTCTGGTTCAAAGAACCGGAATCTCATTTGATGTTTTGCAATGAGTTTTGTTTTCTGAAGACATACTTACAATCAATATATTATTAATACAATAGTGAAGGATAACCAGACATCTTAGCCTTATTAGAGAGAGAGAGAGAGAGAGAGAGAGAGAGAGAAGTTGCAGATCAGGTATGGAAAGAAGGCCATCAGCACAGAGAATGGTATTTCATGTATTCTTGAGCGTCATATAAAACTGCATTCTTATAAGTTATTACTTTCTCTTTTAGTTTCTATATTATGAATACATTGTTTTCATAAATACAAATCTTGTTGTCCTAATACTTGGCAGCCCTTTCTTTCATACGAAATAATATTCTCTATATTGAATTAAACGATAAATATAAACAGTAATCTCAATATACAAATATAATAGACTATTATTAATAATAGTTGAAAAAGTTTGAAGTCCCCTTATTATTATTAATAATAACTTGTTAGGATCAGTTTAGTATGAGTTTTATACACTTAAAATATTTTTCAGTTACTGCTTCTAAATACAAATCACTAAATATATTAATGAGTGGTTTATCCCATACTTTAATACGTAACAACTGTTAAGCGACAACTCAATAATTTAATACAACTATTCATGAATTGGAAAAACCAAAATGCAATCAAATTCAATGTAATCCCAGAACACATACCTTTAAAATATATTTATTTTATTTCTCAAAATATTTATGTTTTAAAAGGGGTTAAAATACAAACAACTCTTTGGCATTATTTGTGATTCAAATGAGATTCCGGTTCTTTGAACCAGAAATACATGTTTTGAATCGCTATTTACTTCTATCGATACGATATTCTCTCACTCTTTCTTTCAATCCTTAAAATTACAATTGAAAATAAAACACTGAATTCAATGTTTTTGCACTCCATGTCTGTCACTGACCCTAACTTTTACATAATACTGTATTATAATTTATATAATACACTATAACTTTATCTTCACAATTATTAGCTCAATCGATAAGTCTTTTCATTAAATTAGTCTTACAAAGAAAATTCATTTTTTAAATATTAGAAAAAATAATCCAAATTATAAAATAGCCATCGTTATTGCCAACTATTGGCCATCAGTTGGACAAATTTTTTTTCAATTCCCGATAAAAATGGCTGCCCTATGAGTCAAAGAAGTGAGTGATGTCTGTTTCGACCACTACTTTTATTTAGCATTTTGTACCCTTAAGACATGACACCAAAGAATGATATTAACAGTCATCTGATAGAGGGATAACTGGAGTATATGATGGGTGTGGAAACATTTGTCACCCAAAGTCCTCTAATTTTTTTCGGGTAATTTTCGAAAAATGTGGTCTAAAAATAGGCTAAAAATAGCCATATTTTGAGTATGTGTCCGATTATCGGCTCCGGACACCGCGGGAATAGGTATTAAATGGTCATAATTTGTTGTCCATTGAAAGCATATATTGACCAACAAATCCATATATGGAAGTCATGGATTGAACACTTCCCGATAATTTGTGACATGATTGTCCACTTTTCCGGGTCGGTCCGTTCGGGTGAGATCTTTGTGGTCACAATCAATGGGTATTTACTTTTTTAACAATTCATATCATTAGTTGGTAAATAATACATCGGCTAAAACTGATACATTATTTTTTTGAGCCAATTTACTAATCCTAATGAGTAAAACTAAAATAGGTTAATTTTGTTAATGTATACGGTATCGGGAGTTCGGGTGAAATTGCCAATACTTCGTATAAATTTAATAATTTTTTAACATGTAATTAAAGCTAAATAATGACTGTATTAAATGGTGTTTAAACGGATTTGTTAACTAATACCAAACAAATTTAACAGCCATTCATACAAAAGGGTATTTTTAATGAAATTACTTATCGATTAAGCTGATATATTATGATATTTAAAAATCTAAATAATTAAATATTAATTATTATTACAATAAATAGATACAGATCATGAAATTAATATAAATGTTTCATTGTGTAAATAATATGAATACATTAATAAATAAAAACATTAAAATACATAAATAAATGTAAATAAGAAATTACAACAATTTCAAAATATTAGTGCAGTCACAATAGTTTAATAAATGCCTTAATTTCTCGGCACACGTGGAAAGAGTTGAGTTTGGATTCAATCTTTTGATTTCACCTAAAATTTCAAATCGATTGTAATAGACGTTATGGTTTTGAACGAAAGCCTCAAATAGTGCCCCTCCCGGCCCCGTCTCCAACTCAATAATATATGCTTTGGCCATCGGATCAATTAAATCACTGTCTGTTAACACCACGCGTTTGTTTACAATCGATTTTAGTGTAAATTCTGTACAATTCTTGCGGTAAAACTTTGTTTTTTCGTTCAGTTTCTCAATAACTGTGTCGGCAATGGCTGTGAATGTGTTGACAACGGTATGACACGAACACATACTTTCTGGTATGGAAGCACTTTTGCAGTCCCTGTTATCTGGTATCTGATCCAATAGCGACAGACCGTGAGGTAATGTTTTGTTTGCCTCACCTAAATTGTAATTATTTAAAATGTTATTATATAGTTTGCGGATCAAATTTCGCAAAACTACTAAATCACAAATTTATATTAATTGGTTAATAAATATATAGACAATATGGTATGGAAATTAATCTGTATTTATTAAGCTACAAAAAGGTGCAAACCATTTGTCTCTATCTATTGTGGATCCGGAGATAATCTCATGTGAAGAGATCATCCTCCAAACTATGTTTGGACCATGTTATCCAATGGCTTTTTAACTATTAAAATATTGATCAATATGTAGTTTTCCTAACATTTTGCATAATAAATTTTTTAATTAACATATAATACATGAAATTTATGTGGAATTTAACGCTGAACACGATAATAATATTAAATTTTTTATATCTCAAATATTAGTCAAGTTATTCAACTTAGAACTCTGTTTCAAAAAAATTTATTTGAAGATCTTTGAATATTATATATAAATTCGATGTAAAGTGGTAAAATTTTTTAGAATATGCACTAAAGGTTAGTTATTTGTATTGGATATTATTTGTATTGAATAAACAAAACATGATTTGTATATATTTTTAGTTTCCGACATTATTTTTAAAATATTAAAAAATACATTTCATGGCATTTCCCAAACACTTTTTGGAGGATAACCTCTTCAGATTAGATTATCTCCGTATTCACAATAGATAGAGACAAATGGTTTGCACCGTTTTGTAGCTTAATAAATACAGATTAATTTCCATACCATATTGTCTATATATTTATTAACCAATTAATATAAATTTGTGATTTAGTAGTTTTGCGAAATTTGATCGGCAAATGTTATTTACATGTTATTAATATCTCCATATTATATTACATTTGTATTTTTTCATTAACTAAAAATCAATGTCACAAAAGTTAGATACAGTATTATTATTATAACCCGAGTAATTTTTAAATATAATTTATTATATAGTTTTTATTAATATCTCCATATTATATTACATTTGTATTTTTTCATTAACTAAAAATCAATGTCACAAAAGTTAGATACAGTATTATTATTATAACCCGAGTAATTTTTAAATATAATTTATTATATAGTTTTAATTGAAATTCAAAACATAATATTTTAGATACTATGTTATTAAGAATTTTAATGTCAACGCAAAAATATATATTTTAACAAAATTTAAGTTAATGTGTGACATATTTAAGTAAAAGTGTCCTACATGACCTTTTTATGACCTCCAATATGTCCTTTCCTAAATCATTTATTTATAACAAAAATATAATATAAATTTTAAATGTTTTATAAAATTCGTAATGCAATTACTGAAGACTGAATCCTAAGCAGTGATTACTGAATCTTTAGCAGATTTGATTAGTATATAAAATTTCGTTTAGGAATATGTCATTTGCAAAATGTTATACAGTATAACTTATACTTCTCGTTGGAGTATTTATAAGAGATTCCATTAGGAATATAATATTCAGATTATACAATGTATTACTTTCAAGTTAATAAAATGTATCTAAAGGTGGATCGGATTGTCCAGAATAAAACAATATTGTATTAACTATAATAAAGTTGTTATCAATTGTAAATAGTCAAATATAATGTTGTGTTTATATGTTCTACTGTATCTTCAATATAAATAGTATTGCTTAATGAGAGATAATGTAAATGTTTAAAACAGGACGTCCCAAAAGGTAGACTTTGCCTATAGACAATACATTACAGTTTACCCTCATTCACCCGCAATTGGTATAAACAAATTTAAACGTTGTTTAAAACAGATGACTCTTTAAAGCAGTCCACAAACACTTACCATTAAGTATGTGGACAAGTGTTGCGTGAATATCAAAGGGAGTGATCAACTGTTTAGTATTGGTGTTGAAAACGGGTCCGTATTTATCTCGTAATTGTTTTGGTAGTCTCATAAAGAGAAAGGGTAGCCGCGACTCAACTTCTTTGAAATAAAGTTCATTAATCGGAGACCAATCTGAGCCCTGATCTGAGAAGAAAATCACAAGCGTTTCATCTAATAATGTATTGTTGTCTTTCACTATCAAATCGTGTAAGAAATCGTGTGTCGAGTTATCCATAAAACCAATTTTGTTCAGTGAGTCTTTGGTCCATCCGTTGAGAGACATGTATGCAAAGTATCTTTCATTTCTTGAGGCCATTAAACGCATAAAATCGTAAATATATTTATAGTGAGACTAACAATTAAATGTGAATAATATTAATAAATTATATTTTACTATAATAACATAATTTCATACCCTTGCTCCAATGTCTCCATTATTACAAGTATTATCTTTCTTATACCCTTTTAAATAATAATCACTTATCATTTGTTTATCATCGGCTTTTAATATATAATTAATGTCTGGACTTTCTTCAAAAAATAAAGTAACAAAACCCCTTTGCGCGAATTCTTTCCAAATAATAGGCCATTTAGTGAAATCTATTGTAAAATCATCAAGAACACTATCCTTATTTGTTGGACTATGATATATTTCCTTAAGCTCGTATGCAAAGTACCCTGTTAATAAAGGTAAAACATTTTCCCATACATTTAAACCCACTTTATTATAGCCCTTAAATTGTTGGAAATGTGTGTTATTTAGAATGAGTTGAGATGTTTTGACGAGATGTCTGTGAAAATTGATATTTGATACAAACGGAATATTTATGAGCAACACATTTGGTAGAGAATCCCTTTCTGTTATATTCGGTACCGTTTTATTCACAATACTATTAACGGTGGGAATCAATGGTATAATATCTTCATAATAAACAGATCGTGCAATTGTTTCATCAAAGGATTGGGCCGTTTGTGACAAAAAGAATTCATCCGTATTTCTAAAGCAATAGATTTTGACGAATTCATAGCCGTCTTTAATTGTTGTCAATTCTGTATCCATTTTATACGAACTATTCTCTAATATAAACCATTCAAATTAAATACTATTTCAATTTTGAAACGTGGTATAATAGGTAAATGTATTCAAACCATTGGTGAGCTCGAATTGGTGATCCAACTCATGCGACCATTTGAGGGGAGAATAGTAACAAATAGGTTTGCAGCCAGATTTGGTCCAATTCATCCGTATTGTCATTCCATCGCTCTCTCGGTTTATATCATAAAATGTTTTCGTTTTTAAACAAGTATTAAGAATTACATTTTGAATGAGTGTTGTATTCATATAAAAGTCCATCACTTCATCGTTAAACAGAGGCAACTCTTCAATACGACAACCCTTTGTCTCAATCATGAAAGAAATGTTTGCATTTTTGGTCAATTCTTGTGTTGTCATAGATTTTGGCAGATCTTTAGTTATAATATATTTCACTAAACTTTAGAAGTAGATATAAAATAAGAGAAAATTGTTGAAAAAATTTACACTAAAAGTAAAACAACACTTACTCGACATCTAAACCAAAATTCTCCTGTGATTTCTTGAAATATAACGTAAAACATGATATTATTAGTGTTATAAACAGTATTACAATTAATGTATCTTTATTTAAAAACTTGATATTTCCAAATGCAACCATTATAACCAATATAAAAATTCAATAAAACACCATTTGAACAGAATATTCTCATCATTACTTGATTTTATATTTGAAAATCCATAAAATCAATGTAAAACATTTGACTAAAACACTTGTCTATGTACTATATTTACAATTATTATTAACATTTAACATTTAGTTCATTGACATTGAAATACGATAGAAATTATAAAAACATTGTAAAATATAATTACACCTATGTATCTTAATTGTAGTGTTTAAAAACAAAATAATTTGTAGTTATTATTATTAACATTTAACATTTAGTTCATTGACATTGAAATACGATAGAAATTATAAAAACATTGTAAAATATAATTACACCTATGTATCTTAATTGTAGTGTTTAAAAACAAAATAATTTGTAGTAAAATATTGTATTATTTATGACTATAAATGAATTTAAAATGTATTATTATTTGGTTCTTAGTTATCAATTTTATAAATTCAAAAATAAAATTTTTAAACATTAAATTCTTTAAGAAATTTTCCTTTAGAAAGTTACTTAAAAATAATTATTGTTATGAATACAAATAGAATTTAATTAATTATAAATCATTACTACAAACACAAGTTTATGGTAAAAATTTTAATTAATCTGTTTACTAGACACTATATGGCAGCACATTATTTACAATAATAATTTCTTCTAACTTTATACAAACTTATCTGAAAAGAAAGTCAGTTAGTATTATACCTTAATTATTTTGTTAAATATTATGTACTGTATTTGAAATGATTGCGTGTATAGAAATAGAAATTAATAAATACATTAATACTGTTAAATATTTGTATTATATTTGAATGAGCATAAACTTGATTAAGAAATATATTCACATTTTTGTGTCAGAAAAGGTAGAAAAAGATCTAAAAGAGAGTATTTTTAAAAATTATAAAAATATTTATTTTGTTTCAAAACTTAAATGCGATTACAATATAAAAACACAAGTGAGAGGTTGTTTAGATAATAATATTAAAATATAAAATACCACATAATAATAGTAATAAAATATCAATAATTAGTTGACCAATGGTTTCTATTGTGAAATGTACTCAAGTTTTGAATACTTATTGAATTCATTTGTTTGTGTTTTGTATTTCTACTCAAATTTCTTAAGAGTTGTGATTTCGTTGTGATTTTTATCATTAATAAAGACAATGCGTTTAGTCTTAGGGCTAACGAAATAACTGTAGATAAAAAAGTTGATGAATAGTATGAAGAATAGAGTGTAGAGCGCGAGCCCTGTGGTGGCTGTGGGGACCGTCATATCACAGTGGGTGCCCTCCGCCACGTACTTAAACGATATGATATTTATTATGAGACCGAATATCATTTGCACGATTTGGGCAATTGTTATCGTCATCGATATACCACGCGGTATACGTATCCTTAAGGCCCGCAACGAATAGTATGTATACATCAATGAATGAATTGTATAATTCATACCAACCTATCAGTCAATTAATACAATTGATTACAAATGCAATACAAATATGTAATTTATATCAAATATAGCAATAAGGATAAGCATACCATCCATCGGGCAGTTCCCGGTTCATCGGGAAACACAAAGAAACAATAGCAGAGTGTGAGCACGTGATGAATCCAATGAAGGTTAATGAGCTTCTGTTTGCGCAGCACAATGAACGCCGTGTCACCCAATTCGGCCACTTTCGACCAAATGAACACCAGATACCAGAACACCAGACGACTGTCGTCTTTGTACGAGTTGTTGCAGAAGGACTCTAAGAAACCCCGATTATAGAGAATATCGATGAACTCAGGCACACATCTAATGGTGCCTATTATGGAGAACACGGCCAACGAAGCCGACCATATGGCCAGTGCTCGACGCAGATTGAACGCAGGCCTTGTCTTCATATATTGGGCGCCCAGGAATATGACCACCATATATACGATCGACACCCAAATCGTGAAGTGCCAGTTCTCTCCTATCCATAACCTCTATAAGCATATCATTATTATTAGTTAACACATACTATATTCATCTTAACATAATCAATTGTCTTCTAAAAGGTTCATTAATACGTTAGCTACTTAACAATCTGTGGTATAACTTTAACACAACTATAATATAATTATAATAATATGTCATTATTTTATAAATTACTTGTCATTAACAGTGTTCAGTATTAAAACAATATAAGTTAAACTGTTTTAACAAAAACTATTTATATACGGTATTATAGTTTATACAAAATTGCATTCAATTCAAAGTTTGGCAAATAATTTTAGTGACATAAAAGGGGTTTAAAATGAAATAAATATAAGGATTACTAAATATGATTAAATAAATGTGATTTTCATGTTTAGCCATGTTTTTTGAAGTAAACATAACATAAAATACATAATAATTACATGTGTATCTCCAATAGTATTGGCTTCAATATTGAGCGCAAACGGAAGTCCCGGATAGTTATGCCAAACATCGGAATCATTTAGTGAGAGCCCATTAGCCCAACGGCTGAGCAATGATTGGGTTTGCGGAGTATTTTCGACAAATTTTTTCATTAAAATCTCGTCAAAACTTATTGATGAAGACATGTCTTCTTTCAATACTTATTAGTTAAACATAAAATACTTTATTATTTATTACCAGAGTTTACTATAAAGCAAAAAGAAACAAAACGCTCATGTTAATTACACTATTCAATACACAATATTCATTATTATTACAATTATTAAATATTATTAACTCCTTATTTCTGCGGTGAATATCAAATGTAAAGCAATAAAATAACTTTCAATGCAAAAACATTTGATTGAATTAGTAATAAATGTTTGATAAATAAAATTATTAAAAATCATGAATGAATTAAAATAAAACAAATACTTTAAAAATAAATGCAATTTAAGAAAAATATAAAATTAAATCAAAATATGCTTTTTTGGTGTACATTAAGTGAACACTCGGTGTGTTGTCTGTACTCAAAATCTTTGACAGCAGTTAGAAATGCGTTCGCATATAATGTACAGTATATTGAATGAGCATTTTTGAGATCAGGAAATACACCAAAAGTTTTGCACTCTCTCTCTCTCTCTCTCTCTCTCTCTCTCTCTCTCTCCCTCTCTTTCTCACTCACACAACTACACACATACATACTATATCTCATAGTATATTAAGTTTATTAGGTTATTGGATTAATATGACCTCTCTCTATCTCCATTCCCCGCTCACACTCACTCACTAACATACACCTGTGTACCTGTGCTCTCGAACACATACACACACTCTCATCACAGCTAACTCTCACTCACACTCCAAACATGTGTTGTATATCTGTATTGACCCCTAAAAGCCCTATTGCTAGAGGGAGTCAAACATACACACTCTGGTCATACAAATGAAATACCGCACACTATATGATAAAATAGAGCAAATTCTTGTAGGGCAATTAACAAATTATATGATAACTTTCACAATTAAAACAATCTATAAAATACTTTGATTTGAAAATAAAACAAATAAATAAACATATGATGTGATGTATAAGTAGATCATAGCTTACCGTTAAGTCAATAGTAAAAGGGGTTTTGGAATAAGTTGTTATCATTAGAGAAACACATACTGTCAGTGCGTTAGTGAATATCCCGGACCATCACTTATACACGAATGTGTGCACAAAACGAATACATATTACTAACACTTTTTACCGGTATATACCTGTATATGTTGTAAGGAATAGTCCATCACTTTTTTAAAGGACGGGGAGATATACAGAGGTAAAACCCCAGTGGCGCTCCTGTCCAATACTTTTGACTACCAAATTATATATTACAGGTTTACCTGTTTGTTGGCCACAATCAACTATACACATATATTTTAGATATTATATATTAAATAGTTTGATATGAATTTCGATAAGATATTTCGCTTTTATTTAAATTTAAATAAATAATTATTAAAACATATATATACTTTATTTGGTCTAGCTCTCTCTCTCTCTCTCTCTCTCTCTCTCTCTCTCTCTCTCTCAATTGATTTGAAGGATTTATAACACATGAGACATTGTAAGTAAAACATAGGAAGGGGTTTTGGCATTCAAAATATTAAAAACTTAATTTTTTCAAAGTTATATATAAGAGTTGATTTTTGTTAAGCAATTGTGGATTTTTCAATACAATATTGAGTTTTTTTGTTTTAAATGCATTTTTGTGTTAGCATTGAATTTTAGATTAAGAGATGTGTTATCTATAGTTTAGAGGATCAGTCATCGAAGGATAAGAAAGACCAAACATTATAATAGGTTTTGGGGGCTATTATATTATATAAACCCTCAAAACATATTATAATGTTTGGTCTTTCTTATCCTTCGATGACTGATCCTCTAAACTATAGATAACACATCTCTTAATCTAAAATTCAATGCTAACACAAAAATGCATTTTAAATTTAAAAAAACTTAATATTGTATTGAGAAATATCCACAATTGCTTAATAAAAAAACAACTCTTGTATATAACTTTGAAAAATAATAAATGCATTTATAAACAAAATAATAATAATTTGTTGTATTTTTTTCGAGAGAGAGAGAGAGAGAGAGAGAGAGAGTGAGAGAGAGAGAGAGAATATTAAAAATGATTCTGTAATACAAAGTTTATAAAATAGAAAAGACATAACAAAATAATTATGACCTCAATTGTGATTTTAGTTTCTTCATATTTTGTATGCATTTATAGATAATATAAACACTGTTTTTATGGGAAAATGTTTTTAATGAAGTCTTTATTATTTTTATATTTATTTTTTAGACGACAAATAATTGTATAGATATTATGCTAATTTCGTAATGTTTTATACCATAAATAAGACTGAATATAGTTTTTAATTATATTTATTATTTAATTATTTGTTTTCTATGAACGACAGAAGACTGGGAGTTGAGACTACGAAACCCATTAAATATAAAAATAATTAAGAAATTAATGCTTTAAACGCTGTTTTAAAAGTTCTTGAATTGCATTTCAATTAATTTAATAGATAATGAAAAATGATTTGTTCAATGATTTCTCTCTCTCTCTCTCTCTCAATAAAGGAATAAACCGTTTTTTCTTAGATTTCTATTTAAACTTTGTATTCGAGTCATTGGTTTTTATCGTTGCACATAATTTT